GGGGGACTTAAACATTTATGCCAGATCACAATCCTACAGTGGTCATGCACCTGTGGAAAAGAGATGATTTTTGTGTCTCTGAAACAGCATTTCCAGCAGTGGAGGCACTTGTTGAAAAATGTATCTATAGGTCTTAAAAAATCCGTACCTTTTAACAGTGTGACTTTTAACAAATCTAAGAAAAAACATTTGGAGGAGGGGGCAGCCGGCCCCCTTGGATATACAGTATGCGCCACTGAGAAGACAATCTTCTCAATGTTTTGATTGGCTGATATTTTTGCGCTCAAAATTGTAAACATGGCGCCTATTTTAACGAAATCGCCGAAGTGAGAGTTTTTATTGCATTTTTCACTAATAAAGGGACTATAATAGCATTAAGAAAACACTCAAGGCTAAAAGTACTTAAGATAAGCCTTTTTGATTGGAATTGCGGCAAGAAAATGAAGAAATAAGCGGTAAGTAATCTGTTTTTGAGCCTGGATTAGTAGATATACAGTACTTCGTTGAAGTAATCTATATTTATGATACTGATTTTGCAATATTTTCAGACTCGTAACTCCCCTGGATATGAGCAGAAGTGACGCTCTATGATTTTCTTAACCTGAAGAACGCCGAGACTTACAAAGATGAATAGTAAACTTACACTGCATGGATAACTAATATCAGTACTGTATACATGTAGAGTCTTCTTCTTGGGAAGTACTGACGTTATGGTATTTGCAGGCGTTCATTTGTTTTCATAAAGCAAATGAATGAATGCTACACACGTAAAAATGCACAAGTTGTAACAAACCTGCAACAGAATTGTAGAAATGCTGTTCCAACAACTTGTCAACAGGATGTGTTCGCACTGCTTGTTCCCAGCTTGTTGACGAGTTGTCAACGGCTTGTTAACAACTTGCTATAAAGTTTTTGAGCTCAACAGATTTGATACTGGTTGTTCCAACAACTTGTTATCGTCCTGCAATTCAACAATTTGTCAACAAGTTGTGAGTGACAACCTTGTAGCAACTTGATAAAATAACAGCATTGTTACAACTTGTTGACAAGCTTGCTACAAGCCTGTTGCGAACACATCTTGCCGACAAATTGTGAGATTTTTATGTGTGTAATGAACGAGTGAGGTCTTTGAAAACAGAATAACAAGTGTGAAAGTACAATGCCAATTACATAAAGCACTTTACATGAACAAATGTCTTTATAGTTTGGGGACAAGTTGAGACAAGTTGCATCAAGCATTGCACAAAGTAGACGTTGATTCGTTTTTTGGCAACGATTGCAGCGACTTTTTTCAGCATTACGCCAGAATACAGTCTGTGACATAACTTCATTTTGAAATCAATGGTGTTTCCTGCAATCTGATTGGTTCACAGGTGTGCGATTTCAGCACGAATCGCACTCCTAGCAGTGCGATTCGTGCTGAAATCGCACTTTCTTTCAACCAAACACATTAGAGTGCTGATTTCAGCCAACCAATCATATTTAATCATAGGATTCAAACAGCCAATGAATTTTAAGAAAAATGTGATATGGCAAATGAGCAAAAACAAAAAATTTACAGCACATGTCACGATTTAATACTCTTGAGTGCCTAAGCAATTTTTTGCACATAAATAAAAAACAAAAAAAATATGGATAGCTACAGTAAACTATCAAAGAATTGCAAAGAATTTTAATTCTTTTGAAATTTCACAAATAGTAACTGGCAAAAATGCCAACAAAAGCAAATTTAAAGCGTCAGGACAGACAGGACTCCGCGCAAACAAAGGTAAATTCGCCTATCGTATTTCCAATTTTTATAAACGCACAAAACTGCACCAAAACTCTTTCAATCACTCGTAAGACCTACAATATGTTTAAACTTACTTGTGTTGTCTCTTATTCTTTATAAATGTCTTCATTTTCTTTAAGATTTTTGGCATTTTTTGCAGTATTTGAACGTATTTATTAAAACAAAACTTACAAAACTTTTCATCTTGTTCGCTTACTGTTGCTATGCTACAGCACTCGGGGAGGTACCGGAGGTGTGTCTTTTGCAAACAAAAACGTTTCCGGTTCACAAAAATATTTAAGATTTCAAAATGAATATAATAAATAATGGTAACAGGGTTGCCAGGTGGTCTGAGCCCGAAAGAGCCAAATGCAACGTAAAAAGTAGCCAAATCCGGCCAAAAGAAGCCAAAATCGAAATTTAGAGTAAATCTTCCGAATTCAAGCGTTCAACACCGAAAAAAAAGAGTATTTTATCATTTTCGTTTTCCCGCCGTTCGGGGCGAACCGCATAACCCAGGGAGAGGGTACTAATTCCGATCGAATATTTACGTACATCCGGAATCCCGGATAAATGGATAATGTAATCGAACATAGCAGAGTTTAACTAACTTTTACTGAAGGATGGCAGATTATTTTTGAAAAGTTGCTTATTTCAGATTTATTCAAAAAGAAGCCAAAAAGAGCCAAAAAATAGAAAGAAGCCAAACGAAATTTTTAGTAGCCAAACGAAGTCAAAAGAAGCCAAAATCGAGAAATTTGGCTTTTTTAACGCCAAACTGGCAACCCTGAATGGTAATTGAACTTCGTGTCGTGCAATTTTGGACTGAAATCAAACTTGTGATAATACAAATCTGAAATCGCACTCACCAGATGAATCACTAGTTGCATATAATTAGCCTTTCTCACGATGACGAATATCCGCCATTTTTGGGTGGCATCAAATTTTCATTATCCAATGCAGACAATTAAAACAATGTGAAAAGCGATAAACTAACCATTTACAAAGAACATTTACCATCATTCGTCCAAAAAATTACAAAAAGTCGCTGTTATGTGGACTTATCGCACAGACTTCAGCTGAAATGCCACCCAAAAATGGCGGCGTGAGAAAGGCTAATTTTCACCCTTATCATATTTCTTCATTTTTCATCCTTCAAGAGAATTATGTAATTTTTCTATGAAATTTCTGATCTCAAATCTGGAACTGCATAGCACACTAACCTTCTGAATTCAGGGAATTAATTTTGAAGCCAGAATAATATATAAGGGAGTGTTCATTATTTATACCCGGGGTTGGTACCGAAGAGAAACTAATCGAAAAGAGAAAAAAACAACCACCCACCCTTTCGATCAACCATTTTTTTCCCTACCGAACTATTGCATGACTTGGATTTTTATTTTACCCAACCCAATTTCAAAATTATACAAGTATTTTACATATATACATATATATTATTATACAAGCTAGGCCACTATAGTATAAACAGTACTGTGCATATTTGATGCACTAACTGGATGTCAAAATAATCATTTGTACCTTCACAAGTTCATATTATGTTCCAAGTTCCTGCAGTCCTACCATATCTCGTTGTAATCAGAGGGGATGGGGAGTTGGAGTTTAGTTTTCTTTGTGTGGAATGAATGGATATTTCCTGGAATGACCCACTTCGTTAAATAAAGGGTTTTTATATTTTGTTCAATTGAAGGTTTGTATTGAAAATAATTTACCCAACCATAGGCTTTGTTCAAAAAATATTTACCCAACCCTTCATACCCCAGAAAAATGGCTTACCCAACCCATTTCTCTTCGGTCCCAACCCCGGGTATAAATAATGAACACTCCGTCTCCCTAAAATGAGGAGAGATTAATAAATCTGTCACATTCCCTATACGAATCAAATCCTTACGCCCGTTTTCCACTCCGTTATTTCGCCGCCGCTGGCGAAAAATTTTGGCGAAGAAATCATTTTTTTACATTCATTCGCCGCTGAAGAAATTTGTTCTCCTGCTACAGTTGCTTAAAATTTTCAACTTCTGTTTGACCTTTCGTTGACCGCGCGAAAGAACATCAAATGAACTTTTTCGGTGGCGAAATTTTTCGCCAGCGGCGGCGAAATACGTGAGTGGAAAACAGGCTTTACGTGTTTAAATTAGTTACAAGCAAATATCTTCTTTTACGTAACTTGAAAGATATAGCTCCTCACACCACTTCTAATGAGATTTACGCCCGTATTCTAAAAGCACACTCACACTCAATGAGTGGAGGTTCAATCTGAGCTTCTCTCGAGTGTCATTGCTGTTTTTGAATAGCTGGAGGGTTAAGGTCCACACAGACCGAACGCGACGCGAATTTTCAGTTTTTAAAAACAAATAAAACCGTCAACGGATACTAAAATTTTACAAGATATGCAGACCAAATAGCTAAAATTGCTCAAGTGGTTCCGAATATTTGAGAAACATAGAAAAATATTAAATGTCATTGAAAATTGAAAATTCGCGTCGCGTTGCCAAATCGCGTCCGGTCTGTATGGACCTTTAGTGTCGTACCTTACTATGCGACTACTCACCCTCCAGCTATTCAAAAACAGCAACGCCACGTTCACTGGCAACGCCATTGTAGATATTTGGTAGTTACATCAATATGGTCGCCACACTGGCTTCATTTATGCATAACAGTTGCTCTATCCACCCATCCGTTTGAGATCAGTGATTGCAAGTTGCAACAGCGTCTTTCCCCCCCTTTTTAATTAAGAGGAAAGTTCCTTCACCGAAAGGTGCTTTTCAAGGAGGTCCTCTATTGTGAAGGAAATATACTGGTAGAGACTGGTCACGTATAATCTGCTAATATGTAGCAGCTATAGCTTGTATGTAAATTTGTAAGGATAGGAAATCTTGTAGTTTTCTTTTGCCATGTGTACAAGTGTTGTTTCTGCAATAAACATAAAATACTTAACCTTTGAAAGCGAATGGTACGTTATTTTTAAATTTGGTTAATTTTTTGTTGAGCCGAAGCGAATATGCGCGTTTCATATATTTCGTCCACATAATTTTCAAAGATATTTTTTGTTTTTTTTGTAAAAAATGTTTTAGAGTTGTATTCAGTCGTATGATTGGGTTTAAAGACGCAGGATAGTGTTCGGTTAAAAAATTTTAAAGCATTTCTACCGTTCCAAAGTTGATTTGAACTACTACAAAATCCAGTTCATTTTGATCTTGTATAATCCTTAATGCTCTAACTATACGCTAAAACTGGAAAAATCGATGTTTTCAAAGTTGTATTTAAGCATCGCGATTTTCCATCCGGGAACGAGACTTTACATATCGCGAGGAATGAGATATTAGCCGACTAGATAGCGTAAATTTGCTCCAGTTATGTATAGGAAATGTATTTGCTCGACAGTAAAACTAATTTTAACCGCTAACGGGGTTTTTTTTTATAAATTTGACACATTTATAATTGTCTTCCATTGAAAATTGCTCGAAAGTTGGCTCATTGAACTAGAAGCTTGTCTAGAATCTCGACTGCGCATCGAAATGTCTCGTTCTACGACGTGATAAATTGCAGTTGAATCATAGTACATGAGAATGGAAAGCATTAAATACATGAAATATATGCAAATCAAAATATATTGAACTGTTCAATCATTTGTGTTTCACTTATATAGCCACAAGAAACGGTTCACTTTATTTTCTATAATTTAAAGCGGGTCAACCAGGCGAAAACTAATTGTTTTTTGAGCACGTTTTTCGGCATGTTGACTAAGTGATAATTGAGCAGTTGAACACTTTCTAGTTCAAATGCAATCTATCTCGACGCTCAAGCGTTATTTCAATGCGCTGTCGACATTCCAAATTTGCTCATTCGAAAGAATTTTCTTCATGTGTGATTAATGTCGAATGCGGCAAACTCCCGGCATATAGATTATAGGCGCTTGCTAACAAATTTAGTTTTGCTATATAAATACGAGAGCAAGACACCGCAAGAACATATTACATCGCCATGCATTGTAAACAGGTTTTCAGATATGTACAGATTTAAAATTGATAACACGCGACAAAACCACACATGACATTAATGGAGACTTTACGCCATATTTACTGCATAATTAATTAACCAGCTTATCTTTCATGTGATTGCTGTTTTGAATTGTGCACGTTTCCTTATCAAGACAAGCGATATATTTCTCTTTTTACAGTTTATGTATGCTAGAACTGATTTCAATTTGGAAATTTAGTGGAGCTTTTACAGGTTAGCTGAATATGTTATTTAACAATTACACCATGCATGAGCGCAAGTCGTATACTGAGCTGATAGTCGACGATGCGCGTATATAGCACCGAATCGGCTATCAGCCATATATACGACGCCAGCTAATATCGTCTTTATATCCATTGATTGCAGCAATAATATATTCTTCTCTATTGCTATATTTTGCCGACTGTTTTTTTTCCACCACAGTTCATGCAGTCGCAACTGCTTTAATGTTTGAAATGTTTTGGTTTTACTAAACTCAAAAGACAAAGTGAAATAAATTGTTTTAGAACAGATATTGCTGACCGAAAATTGAGATATATTATATAGATGCTTTGTGGTATTGTTGACTACAAATTTATCTGTTTTTCGTTGCGACTTTATTTGAAAAATTTATATTGTCGTGAACATGGGTTTTTCGCTGTTCTTTCGATTTTAATTTTTTAAATAAACTTGTATATAAATGGGTTTCTAGCTATAATGAAGTCTAAAGCTATAATGAAGTATGAAGTCTTTTTGTCGTTTTTAAAGCGACTTTTCCCTTTTTTCTTGTTCGGAAAGCTCTTGTACTTTTTGGCCGCCATCTTGTTTTTCGCTACTATGGCGAGTAGCTCAACCAATCAGATTGCAGAATAGCTCATATACGGCAGATGACTATGATTACAAGATAGTTTATAGGGCGTTTTCGCTTGAGGCCAGCTATAACCGGGAAACTCACGTGAGTAAAGATCTACATTCCCATTTCATCTGCAGATATATATAGCCATGTGCACGGTGGGATCTCAAGCAGGCAAGTGAGATAAAATTTTCCATCTGACCAAAGCTTTATTTAGAAGTGAGATAAAACTTTCTATCTGATGGGCGTTTTTGCCGATTTTGACCTATGATATATATATTATTGATATAGCAAATAATTTAAGGTGGAGTTTGTTTAGGTCCGTTGACCCTACACAGGGTACACATGCATGTAATAAGTTAACCTCGAACAACGAACTTTTAGAATTTCCTAATCATTTGTGTTCATAAGCTATGATCTATATCGGCCATATATATAAACTATATGTATTGTAGGGTGCCAGAATATCGATAAATTCCATTTTTGGGTAATCACACGATAATGATGGCTTTTAATTGCTCTTTAACGTTATAAATATACAGTGCCAAACATAATTTTTGTTATCAGTAAAGCAGAGATATGAACGATCTGTCTATTTCCTATTCTATATGAAACACTTCATATATTCCATATCTCTCAAGATTATTCCGTAATAGAGTCGAAGATAAACGTTATATCGTCACGAAAATGACTTGTGGACAAGCAATTTTTTCCTGGACAAGTTTTATTTGCTCGTGTGGTTCTGGCAAACAAAACTAGAGCAGACATTGAGCCCGAGCAGCGCCCCTGCAGCTAGGGACAATTTTGTATTTGTATTTTGTATTTAATGATAAACATGGTAGCCTATCGGCCTTGAATGAAAGTTCTGAAAATATTGATGTATACACACAAAAGATATACTGTAATAAACAAAAATAAAATGGCTGTTTTTCATAGGACCGTGCAGATGCCTAAACTATTGTTTCGTGGTGCACTCAACTCTCAAGGAAAATTCGAGAACAATATCGCTTCAGCACTAAAGAATCTTTGATGCTATTTGGTTATATCATATGTGTATAGGCGGAAATGTCACCTCTTGTCACTCTAGTGTCTGTATATATAATTATCATTGTATAATATCTCGTGCATGAACTTACCCGTTGAAGGCAGCCGAAAGCTCGTTAAATTAATCAATATTTTAAGCCAGAGAGCATTCAAAAACTTATTATGAATAATCCTTGTTTCGCCTCAAACATCTTTAAAACTAAAATTATAGCTAATGATTATACATTAGGAAGGTTTACAAGAGGCAATTTTTCAGTTTCAAAACCTAAAATCGTTTTGGTGCTCCTTTCAAAATTACTTTGTTTTAACTTTATTTTGTAATGTACACAGTTAGCAATCTTTTTAAATGTAGCTATCTGCATGGCGGTTGCGAAACACAAGCTAATAGTAAAATATTCTCAATTTGAATACAATTATCCATGATGCTTTATACAAGTGACGCCATGCATATATATTTACACTCAGCAACATAACCAAAACTTACTGTATTTCAGATGTCATTTTCTCTTTGACTTTGGCGTACAATCTAACTTCTCTTCATTTTAACATAATTTTACAGATAAAGCACTAAACATACTTTTAAAGTTTTTTTGCTGCTTGAAAAACGTATCAAAAATTTAACTAAATATTTGAATATAGCATTATAGTCATAGCCAAGTGAAAAATATAATCGTTATAGTTTTGAGCGCATATTATATAATTACGTAACAAACAAAATATTCTCTTCTTAAACATTCATTCACTACGTCTTCAATTCTAGCATTTTTTTTGTCTTGCTCATTCCAGATATTTGCCGCTCTATAAGTGAAACTTAATTCTCTTGTCTTATAGCATTTGTTTTAGGCTTAGAATGCATCAGCATACATTAAGCCATTATCACGTAAATCATAAAATTACTTTTCTTGGATTTTAAACAGTTCATTTAAAGTTGCTGGGCAACGCTTTTGACGAGCTTTTGTCGCATGATATATAGGCTATGGGCAATGTTTTTGAAGATCGTTTGGCAAATAAGTCAATATATACTTTGCGTAAATATGTGTCTATACAACATTGATATTTGAAAATGATACGGTTACTGGTAAACCGCGCACCATTAAAATATTTCAAACCAAAATGAAAATGGAAAACAAGTCATTGATGTGGTCGATAAAATGTCCACGGGAATCTTGCTGGCGAGACAAAACGTAATATAATATATATAAGCGATGCTGTGCAGACGGCAGCCTCCCTGGTGCTTTATTCCTGGAAACTCTGCGGGCACGCTAATTGTTACTTAAGAATATAGTTTAGACTATAATTAAAGCGATCACAGCACGTCCTCGTTTTACGGCCCGTGCGCCAAGCTATTGATGTTCTTCAGTTAAAATAATGTCTACGAGTAATTGCGAATGTGTAACACAGTGTAAATAATTTAATGTGAACTTTACAAGTATTTTGACAAAAAAAACTACGTATCAAATCGCGCATGCTATAAAATGATAATTACAATAACATTCACAACATGGCACTTGGAGAGGCATACTACTAAAGGCGAATTAAATTATGTATCATGCATAAATCAAATGAGAAGACTCGTATGTTTTCTATTTCTTAAACAGGGAACTTAAACATTAAGTTAAACCTATTCCAAATACATTTTCAAACTATTCAAATGATGAAAGTCATTGTTGTTTTTTAAGCGTTTATTACGGAGTGGGAAACTTCGACATGGCCGCCATCTGTTCAAATGGGGGTATAACCGCTGGAATATTCTTGGCTTCAATTTTACTAAAAGAGATGCGCTATCTAGTTTATATATAAGATATCTATGGTTATATATGTCGAAAACTCCAGATCAGTTATCGAAGTTTTAACATAAAGAAGTTTTAGAAGTTCTAACGTTATAGAAGTTTTAACATAAATCCATTTGACGTCATAGTGAGGATAATTTGTGATATCAAACATTGTTAAATATCTTAATATTCTTACAAACTGTCACAAAAAAATGGTGTGAAATTTGGTTGCATAATTGCGATTTAAGTAAAAAAAACCATGGCCATATT